TCTGAATTAAAGCCCTATAGGCATGTCTACACTGTAGCTGGGAGGTATAATTCCAGGTCAGGTAGACGTACACATGCTAACTCTGCTTCTTGAGCTAGTGAGCTAAAAATAGCAGTGCCCCAAGCCACTGCAGCCACACTGATACTTAAAAAGTATCAGAGGGGTAGCCGTGTTAGTCTGAATCTGTAAAAAGCAACAGAGGGTCCTGTATGCTCCCAATACATCTGTTAGTCTCAAAGGTGCCACAGGACCCTCTGTTGCTTTTTACTGATATTTTTAGCATTCTAGCTCGAGTAGAGCTAGCATGTGTATGTCTAACCAAGCTGGGAATTACAGATCCCAACCACAGTGTAGATGTACCCATAAAGAGGAACAGGACAGTTCTCCTCACTGCCTCTGAGCTATTGTTTCAGGCTCTCTGCAAATTCATACATATGTCACTGCATTGGTTACACAAAGACTAGAGACTGAAGAATGAAAGCTGAGAATACTATATTCTCAAACAAACAAAAAATATGTAGTTTTACACCCAGCGTGATCCAGCCTAGTTTAAGCCCCATTCTCCACTCTTTGTGAACCCCTCAGAACCCCATTATCTGCTTTGTATGTCTGTATGTCTGTGTGTGTGTGTGAGAGAGAGAGAGAGAACTATGCCCCATTTTGTTCAGTGCATCTGTAAGTATGCTAAACAGAGTCCCATTTTTTTCAGTAGCTGACATCTCTCATTGGCTTCAATGGGATAGAAGCTAGGATGCCATCAACAAAGGTTAGGAAACTTGACAGGAAACTGTGAGGGGGCAAGGGAATGTGAGGACGAGGAGGGAGACTCAGGGGGCATAGGAGAATGTGGGGAGCAGGAGAGAGTCTGAGGGGCATGCAGAGGAATGTGAAGAGGTTAGAAAGGAGACTGTAGGGGTGCCAAGGGAATGAGGGGACTAGCAAGGACATAGAAGAGGGATGTTGGGGAATGTGCAGCAAGAGAGAGACTGAGGGGATGCAGGAGAATAAGGTGGGTCAGAGAAGGAGAATGTAAGTTGTAGGAAACTAATTGAAATGAAGAAAAATATAGGGGCAAGTGAACGTGAAGCGCAGGTGAGGAATAGGAGATTGCGTGGGAGCATGAAACAGTCAAATCTTAAAAAAAAAAAGTGCTATTGGTGCTCTCTGCCTGCATTTACAGTTGATTATGCATATATATTCAAACTATCAAGATGCATGGTCTCTGTGTTCCTTGGGCTCAGCCTAAAGAACTGATGCTTGGTCCTCAGTTATATCAGCATAGCTACACTTGTCAGGGGTGTGAATCAATACATACCCCTGACTGACATAGCTAACCCAACAAAACCCCCAGCATAGACACAGCTATGCTGATAGAAGGGGCTTCTGCTGACATACCTAATGCCATTTACGGAGACAGTGTTTCTACAAAAAAACGCCTTGTTGGTGTATACTGCATCTACATTAGTGGGCTATGCTGACATGGTTATGCCAACATAGTCTCCATAGTGTAGACACAGCCTGAATAGCAGCCAAATACACCAATGAGCTCTGCCGAGGCTGACTTCTGAAGCTTCTGTGCTCCACTGGGCTTTCTGAGCTTGAACTGCTCTTATGGAGCATCAGTAAGGCTACAATTTAGTTATGGGTATTTTTAGTAAGTCATGGACAGGTCATGGGCAATAACCAAAAAGTCACACGGGCTGGTAACCTGTCCATGACTTTTATTAAAAATACTCCTAATTAAATCTTAGCTGCTGAAGGGGGGGGAGTGTGCTTCCAGGGATGCTGCTGATCCTAGGGGAGGCTCTAAGAGGTGACCCAGGGTCCCCCCACCGCTGCTGCTGCTCTGGACAGGGGGCAGCGGCCTGGGCCCCACCACCGCTGCTGCTCTGTGCGGGGGTGGCCCGGGGCCCTTCCACTGCCGCTTCTGCTCTGGGCGGGTGGCCATGGCCCAGGGCCCTGCTGCTACTGCTACTCCAAGTGGGGGGCGGCCTGGGGCTCCACCACTGCTGTTGGGGGCGGGGGGCACAGCCCGGGATGCCGCTGCTGCTCCCAGACCACTGCTCCAGGGCAGTGCCCGGGACCAACTGCCTGGGGCTGCCTGAGCATGGGTACGCCCCAGCTGCTCCTGCAGCCTTGCGGTCAGCTGCTGCAGAAATCACAGAGGTCTCGGAAAGTCATGGAATCCGTGACTTCCATGACCTCCATAAAAGACTCACAGCCTTAAGCATCAGACACCCTGCTGGACTCTGCTAAGGCTTGGTCTACACTACAGAGTTAAATAAACTAACTAGTTTATTGGGGTTGGCTACTCTTTTGGGGAAGGAGGAGCTCACTCATTTTTGTGTCAAAATTGTGGATTGCAGATCTTCCTAATATGATCCTCCCTCTCTTTTCTGACATGTTTTGATGAGCAGTGAAATAGTTGACAATTAAACGTATTTTGACAATGTTGACGTGTAAACAATTTTACTTGAGCATCTGTGTTAGAACCCTTTGAAATGAATGGTGCAGTTCACACATCTCAGAGCTATTGTCTCAGGTTCAGTTAGCTTCAAAAATGTGACCTGAGTGTATGGCATCAACTATAAGCACTTGAAACTTCCTTTTAAAAGAAAACAAAAGCTTAGATTTTGGAGTACAAGATAGCAGCACAAAAAAAGATGCTCATACACCTAGTCTGAGCCCTGAAGGGAGGCAAAATAGGAGGAAGGCAGGACAGGAGAAGGATAGAATGGTAGCTTCCCAGCTCAGGGTTTAGGAAAAGCTAAGTGGAATCCTCATGCAAGTAGCCAGCAGGGAGCTCTGCATGTATGTATGTGTATTTAAGGCTGAATTAGAAACCTGAAATGATACAGTGTAAATTGGGGATAGATGGCTCCCCTCAACTTCAAAGGCTTAAAAACTGAACACAGATTTTAAAAGATGTGATTTCTTTTAAAATCTCATAATTTTAAAGTTAATCGTTATTTTCAAGGGGTATTGGACTCACTTTTGTCTGGTTGGGATTGGCAATAGCTTTTTTCCTTAGCACGTGTTTGTGGTTCCCTGCAGCTCACAGTTCCCGTAGTTTAATCATGGCCTGTGAACAGGCATTTACGGCTCCATGTTGACCATACAGCTTGGCGACGGTCCCTAGTGGCGTGTTTGCGGCCCAATGTTGCCTTTGTAGTTTGGTAACGCTCCTTTAATTGGCGTTTGCGGCTCCCTGAAGCTCCAGCCCTTTGCGCTCCCTGCAGTCCCTGCCCTTTGAGGACAGCGCCTGAGCCTGGGTCGCTGCAGCGCCCCCTGGCGGTTCTCGCTGGAGGCGCAGGGGCGGTGCTGGTCCCTGTGTGACCCGGAGGAGTTCGCCCCCCCACCTCCCTGGCCGGCGCCGGGTCCCCGGATGCAGGAGGCCGGCGGAGGGACGTCATTGTTCCCCGACGGGCTGGAACAGGAGGCGGGGCGGAGCGGCCGGGCTGAGGCGGGCGCTGCAGAGAAGGGGACCCGGCAGCGCCGAGCCGAGCGGGGCCGAGCTAGGTAACGGGGCTGGGGAGGGAGACGGGCCGCGCCGGGGCCTTGCGGAGCCCGGCAGTGTCGCATGCTGCCCCCTCCCTACAAATCAATGGGCCGGGGGAGGGGCCACGGCGGGCGGGCTGGCTGGCGGGGGCCCGGCCCATCCCATCCCACCCCCGGAGCAGCGGGACCCAGCCCCTTCCCCCTCCTTGCGGGCAGTATAGGGGGGAGGGACCCCTGGGCAGGGCAGGGCGCCGCCCCCAGGAGCGTGGCGGGATTCAGTCTCTTCGCCGCCGCCAGGCCCGGGGAGACCTGCCCTGGCGGGTGGCTACTCCCCTTTCCCGTCGGGAGCCGGGTGTCCCGCTGCTCGCCGCGCTCCTGCGGCTCCCGCGCCCAATTGCCCGCCCCCGCTTCCCTCCTAATGAGGGATGCGCCCGAGGGCGGGGGTCATCGTCCCTGCCACACGGGGCTGAGAGATTCGGGTAACCGCCCCATCCTCCGCCAAGTCCGGCGTGGGGCTCCCTCCTCCCGTCCGGCCTTGTTACCTGCTGCTCCCCCTCACGGATGGGGGGTGTCTCGTGGTACCGTCTCCCCCCCCCCCCGCTTCTGGCGTTACCCCCGGCTCCCCATTTTAGCGATGGGCGGATTCTCTCAGGACCCCCCCCCATTCTTCCCCTCCGGGGGGCGCTTCTCTTGTACTGTTACCGCCCCGCTTGGTTGCCATGGACACTGTCTCTCAAATGGGTGATTCCTTTACAGTCGCTTCTCCTCCTTCCCTCGCTCAGTGTCTGGGCTTCAGGCCCTAACATGTGGGGGGGAGGAACAAACTGAGGCCGGCGCTCGGTATTTGGTCCATCTGCTCTTACTAGGCCTAGAGCTTTTGCCGCCCCTCCCTCAAAGTAGGCCCTGTGGCTGCTACTGAATTTGGAGAATGGGGGGAAAATGTGTCCCCCATTTGACTCTCAGACACAGATGACATCCGGATTGCAGTGTTCAGGGTTTGGTGTGGATGATTTCATGGCACCAGCACAATAGGATCAGGATGGGCAATAGAGTTGGAAAAGGCCCATTAAACCACCCAATCCATTTCTCCAGCTGCTGCAGAGTATAGGCCTTTCCTAGGGAGGCTGTATCTGATATTTTAGATATTAGGAATATATTACTGATACTGGGATTGTATATTTGGGGTGGAGGGAGAAGGAGCGAGAATTGTAGCTATGTTTTCTTTCCGAAATATTTCAGTGCAATGTCTAATGTGCAAGCTGGCTGCCATCCTCTACCTCTAGGGGTGGCTTCATTTCACTGGTGCTTTATGTACTGTGTGTAATTGGGAAAGTACTTTGGGCTGCATCCTTCATGCACATTCTATCCTCCTCCTCAAATACTTTTTACACAGTAGGACCATGGATGTAAAATGACCCAAAACCCTGATGTTATAAGTCTATGGTGTGAATAAATGAAAGTATCCAGGTCAGTAATGAAAGCATAAGGTGTTAGTGGGGGGAGAGAAATTGTAAGGGAAAAAATGTGTTCAGATGAGATCTGAAGTCAGAATGAAGGTACAGACTGAGTCATTTTGGATCTGTTTTGAAGCAAGTTGTAGCTTTGGAATGGAGGGGGAGAAAGACTTCAATTTGTACCTTTTTTCAGTTTTTCCCATTGTTTAACTTGCACAGCCTTCATACAGGTGATGCTGTGAGACCATAATGCTTTCAAGTGAAGTATCTGCGTGCTTTATAAGACATAGAAAAATGTTTCTTTGAAGTAACTGTAAGGTTGTGACACATAATTGGCTTCCAATTAGGGATGGAATGATAGCCTTAATTTTGTATTTCTTAGCTTTGATGGTTTGTTGCTTCTTCCTTACATTTCTTTATTTACTGTTTTAAAAAAATCCTGATTTTTAAAATCAGGTAGAGACTAGAATGCAACTTTCTTTCCCCAGTTGTTAGATGGCTATAATGTAAAGGTCTTTTTTGTACATCAGTAGTATGTGGTTCCACAATGTTAACATAAGTATATTAAAAATAATGAAAAGGTGTGGTATGTACCAATTTTCAGTCATTACCATTTTATGTTTGAATTTTTTAAGAGTGCAGTCTAAATTAGAAAAAGGTTCTTATGTGGTAAGATATATAATTTAAATATCTGAAGTTAAAACACTTTTTATGTTGCATTATTTTAAACAGGGCCAAACAGAGTTTTGTAAATATTGGTTTTATATATTTTATATATGTGTATACTCTATATAAGTAATCGTTCCTGGGTGCTGTGATTTGTGTCAAGTATGCAGCCAGACCAATGTTTACAGTCAGGTTAAACTGATAGTGGTTTCTAATGGAACTGCTGACATGATCTTAACAACAGTGATGCAAAACTCCATGCTGCTTCTAGTGGCACATAATTACATTTGTTGTTACTTTCTTAATCCTATATTGGGGCAGATATTATAAGTCATTGCTTGTATAAGGAAATAAATTTACAATAGCAAGTGGTTTCAGGGATAGAAAAAATTGTAGATATGTGTGCAGGAGATAATGTAAATATTTGTAGTCCTGTGCTGTTCAGTTCATTGACCTAAGAAGTTATCCTGAGATAACTGTTTTAATTTGGACAGTGGAAGTTAGACATTCGGAACAAGTGATGGATTTAATTTATTAATAGTAGTAATAGTACCTAGCACATCTGTAGTACTTTTCACCTGGAAATTTCAAAGCATTTGTCAATCATTAATTCTCAAAAAAGCTTAAAAATAAGAAGTTTTGACTATAGTGTTTTTATTTTGTTTCAAATATTCAGTTTTTATTTGGTGGTATTCTTTTCTTTTTCATTTCCTTTCACTCTTGATTCCCCCCCAGTGTATTGATGAATATTATTGAAGCATCTTTTCTTTTGATTGAGAACATGAAAAACTGACTTTTAAGGGGATGGCACTTGCACATTGTGTATCAGGGCTTGCATCTGCAAGTTGGTGGTTGAGAGAATCTTATCTGAGACACAGTGAGACAGGGACCTCAATCTAAGTCATCTTTTAGTATCAGGATGGCTCCACTTCTCAATAAAATGATTCCATAAAGTCTACTTAGAATTCTTTCATTTCAATGTTATGCATTTTCTTCTTAGTAATAGTGGATAGAAATGTCTAAGCGTGTGAATCCACTAGCATTCAGAGCCCACCCCCCTCATGTCATTAAAATTTGAGCCTATTTGAAATTGTTTCTCTCTATAATTCTGGTATATTACCAAGCATACTTGGTAATCTTCATGTAGAATGAGCCCTATAATTTAATTAGGACTTTTACTCAGAATTTGTGGTTTTGTGTGAGAACCTGGACACTCTCTGTTAACTTAGTTTGCTTTATTTAACCTCCTCACTTTAATGAAACAACACTTCCATCACGTATCTTAAAGTTGTTTAAGACATACCATCTCATTCACATCACGAGAACAAATAAAATACTGCCACCCTTACTTATGTTAAGCTAATGGGGCTGCTTGTGTGAGTAAAAGCTGCAGGATCAGATCCTTTATATTGAAATAAGACAATGTACAATCTTGCTATAAAACTTGCTGTGATAGAAAGTGGTAACATATTTACTGCACATGCTCAATAGCACATATTTAAAGGGACAACATTGCAAAATCTAGTCAGTTTTTAAAATATTACTTTTCTAGTTAGTACTCCTGCACGCGAGTTTCCCTGACAATTTGTGGTTTGTCACATTTCCTTAATTTTTAAATAGGTATCTTCTGTTCTACAGAAAAATTAGCACAAACTACTGTCAAATGTGCAAAGTAAACAAACTGGAAAAAGAGCTACCTTTTGGTCTAATCTTTCAATAATAATTGTAACTGTGATATGTTAAATAGATTAAATTAAAATTGCATTTGTTACCAAAATTATGTCCAAACAAATATTTCTTTGAAGGTCAGAAAAAATCCTGGAAGAAATACCCCCATCCCATCCCCAGAGGTGATTTCTCTGGGTATGTCCCACTCTCTAAGTCCTTGTGCTGTGTGGTTCTCATAAATGTTAGGTGGGTAAGACATAGCTTCTTCTGGAGCCCATCAGCAGTTCTGCAGCAGACAGACAAATAAAGTCATTTCTTTTCCCAGTGTCCGGGCTTGAGCATATTGTTTTTGTAGTGCTTCCAGATTTTGCCATCTTGAATAAAAGGAACCAAGCTCAAGATATACATACTTGGACACTTCACCACTAAATAAAACTTAGTATAGTTTTTAAGTACCTTTTGTTTGTATGCAAGTTCGTTATGCTAAATATAAAATGGCACAATATACCACTAGATATATAAATCGTAAATCATCATTTGGAAAGGAGAGATCAGAATGGTGGCTGAGTGTTCTGATTGTGCAGGTAATTTAGCTAATCACAGGCTCATTTATATACATAGGAAAGAAAAAATTTAATAACACATTGGCTCTGTCTCTTTGAGTCAATATTGGCTATACCAAAACTTTTACTTTTCTTTATGGATTAAAATTTCATGTTTTAAAATGCTCTTTATGCTAGAGCCTGGCAAAAGAAATCTAAAACAATTATTTTTTTTTTAGTCTCTCTCAGCCTTTGTACAGTATTTCCTCTTTAATTGTTTTACAAAATTTTAATGTCATCAAATGCAAAAATGGTTGACCAGTTTACACTTTTGTGGGAAAAATACTGTTGTAGTCAAAGCTGAATGCAAAGTTTACCTAAGCGGTATTTTCACAAGAGTTTGCTATTAAACAATGCTGGTCAAAAGTCAAAAGTGGTAGTGGTGTAATTCAGCTGGAAAACTTTGTTTAGTGTGTCTTGGTGCATTTTTTTGAAACATTCACATGAAAGACTTAGTCCTCTAAATTATTTGTGTCTCGTTGGCAAAGATAATTAGTTTCATTAAAGGGAAAGTGTAAGGGTTACCATTCTTTTCCTTGTGGAGTGCTTTTTCATATAATATTCTCATATTAAACAGAACTTTCAACTCTGTGTTACAGAGATGAACAATGACCATAGTTGACAAAGTATCTGAGTCTTCAAACCCTGCAGCTTGTCAGAAGCAGCCTTGTAGCTCCGTGGTACCCTCTACTGGAGACATGGACTCAGCCTCTGCAAGTTGGGGTGCTGTATCATCTTTGGAAGTTCCAAAGCACAAGATCACTTTGGGACCAGTACCTGGTGCTGCAGTTTATTCTAGTTCATCTGTACCTGATAAATCCAAGCCTTCATCTCAGAAAGATCAATGTAAGTATGTCCTGTCCCCGACCCCCCACCCCCCATGCAAATTATGAAAAAATAAAACCAGCTACCATTTAGTAGGGCCTGCCGTCCTCATCTTGCAGTTCTTACTCATTGGGGTAATTCTACTGATATAAAATGGGACTATTATGATTAAGGACTGCAGCAGCAGATTCTAGTCTTGTGAACCATGTGTGAGAGCTCAAATGGCCAATGTTGTGAACTTAATTTGAACCTGTTTACAAACAATATAACAAACTTTTTGGGGGGCAGAGGCGGTGTTTCTCCATTACTTATAGTATACTTATTTAGTCAAGTGTTTATTTCTGTAAAGAAGGATGCGTTTTATCAGTGTTGCTTTTTGTGGCCTGTATTATTTAGAGTTCTCTGAAATACAGCAGTCCTCCTAAAATACTTGGTGTCAATATCCACATCACAGAAGGAGGGTGAAAAATTGTTCTTGTCTGAGGATAGGACAAGAAACAATGGACTTCAATTGCAGCAAGTGAGGTATAGGTTGGACATTAGGAAAAACTTCCTGTCAGGGTAGTTAAGCACCGGAACAAATTGCCTAGAGTGGTTGTGGAATCTCTCATTGGAGGTTTTTAAGAACAAGTTAGACAGACGCCGTCAGGAATGGTCTAGTTTAGGGGTTCTCGGACTTCATTGTGCCGTGACCTCCTTGTGACAACAAAAATGACTACATGACCCTGGAGGCGGGGCCGAATCCTGAGCCCACCCGAGACAGGGGACAAAGCCTTAGCTCCACCGCCCTTGGCAGGGGGCCAAAGCTGAAGTCCAAGTGCTTCAGCCCCAGGCAGAGGGCCTGTAATCTGAGCCCTGCCACCCAGTGCTGATGCCCTCAGGCTTGGCTTCGGCCCCGGGCAATGGGGCTCGGGCTTCAGCTTCGGCCGTGGGCTCCAGCAGGTTTTAAGCCAGCCTTGGTGACCCCATTAAAACAGGGTCGTGACCCACTTTGGGGTCCCAACCCACAGTTTGAGAACCCCTGGTCTAGTTATTACATAGTCCTGCCTTGAGTGCAGGGAACTGGACTATATAAATGGTTTTCAAACCTTTTTTCTGGCGACCCAGTTGAAGAAAATTGTTGATGCCTGCAACCCAATGGAGCTGGGGATGAGGGGTTCGGGGTGTGGGGGTGCAGGAAGGGGCTCTGGGCGGGGCTCAGGGCTAGGCCAGGGGATTGGGGTGCGGGCTTACTTCTGGCGGCTCCCGGTCAGCGGCGCAGCTGGGGGTGCAGAGGCAGGATTCCTGCCTGTCCTGGCACCGCGGACCTCACTGCACCCCGGAAGTGGCCAGCAGCAGGTCCAGCTCCTAGGCGGAGGCATGCAAGCTGCTCTCGCCTGCAGGCGCTGCCCCCTCAGCTCCCATTGGCCGGGAACCGGTCAGTTGGAGTCCGGAGCCAGTGCACAGGATGGGGGCAGCGCGCGGAGCCCCATGGCCCCCTGTCTAGAAGCCGGACCAGCTGCTGGCCGCTTCCGGGGCGCAGCGCGGTGTTGGAACAGGTAGGCACTAGCCTGCCTTGGCTGGGCAGCACCGCCGACAGGACTTTTAACATCCCGGTCGGCGGTGCTAACCGGAGCCACTAGAATCCCTGGGTGCTGAGCAAGACGACCCAGTGCCTTACATGCTGTGACCCAGTACTGAGTCGCGACCCAAACTTTGAAAAACACTGGACTAGATGACCTTTCAAGGTCCCTTCCAGTCCCACACTTCTAGGACTCTATGATTCTATCATTAAGGGCTACTTATTGTGCTTGTTACTTGCTTACTTTGGTATCCAGTCATATTTATAATTAATAAACCATAAAAAGTGTAAGTTTTCCTTTGTAATTTACAATAAGGAAAAAAAGATTAATTTGAATTGAGAGTCAGATTGAGGAAACTAGATAGAAAAGGACTTGCTTAGTTAGGTTACTGAAATCTGGGCAATAATTAGTCTCTGTTGTATTGTCCCACATGAGTGCATTCTACTGTCTTAATTTTTTCCAATTGGCATACAAAACGATATCTTTTTACTGAGCTTGAGTTGACTTGAGACCTTGCTTTGTGGCACTGAGGCAGTCTTTAATACGTTACTCATCAAGTAACTACTAGAATGTAGATTATTATAATTAGTTCTGTTAAAGTTCTTCTAGATGCTCATGCATAAGGTAATATTACTTTAACACGATTTTAACATTAAACGATTTAATATCTTTAAAATGTGTTGGTATTTTTTTGGCAGCTCTTAGTGATGGCATTGCTCCGCCACAGAAGGTTCTTTTTCCAGCAGAGAAGATTTGTTTGAAATGGCAGCAAACGCACAGAGTTGGAGCTGGACTCCAAAATCTTGGCAATACATGTTTCCTCAACTCTGCTCTGCAGTGTTTGACTTATACACCCCCTCTTGCCAACTACATGCTTTCTCATGAACACTCCAAAACATGTGAGTACTTTTAAAAAGTATATAGCACCCAAAAACATTACACACTTGATGTACGTATAAGATGACAGGTCCCTGCTATGAAGAGCTTATACTCTAAATAGGCTATATGCAGACAAAAGTGGGAGAGGGCAAGGGATGCATTTTTGCATTGATTTTTTTTGGTTTTGCATTTCAGTTTTTTTCTTTATCCTAAATTATTTCATTTTGTGTTTAACTCTTTCCTAACTTTACCTATTTCTGTGAATTGAACCCTTTTTAGTTTCCATTTTGTAACCTATCATTATAGGTTTTCCACCTGTTCTTAATTGTCAGCTGTTTTGAAATAATATTTTTTGTGGAGATTGTTCCTATAACCTCAAGATTTTTTGAGGTCTTCCATAGATAAATATTTCATTAATTTGAGATGCAATGTTGCTTCACTCCTCAGGCCATGAACAAGGATTCTGCATGATGTGTACAATGCAAGCTCACATTACGCAGGCGCTCTCTAACTCTGGCAATGTTATCAAACCTATGGCTGTCATCAATGATCTTAGACGTAAGTAATTTCAAATAATTTATTTGTAAAATGCCATTTTTGTGTTTAGATATTTTATTGCCTTGTTTATTTGTCTGATTTTAATTGTAGTTTATAGAACTTAGGGTTTTTTAATAACTTTATGAAGGAAAGTTTAAAAAAATCTTTATTTTCATCCATTTTCACATGTGACATGCAATGTAACATTTATATTTATTTGTTAGGGATAGCAAAACATTTCCGGTTTGGAAATCAGGAAGATGCACATGAATTTCTACGCTACACTGTTGATGCTATGCAGAAAGCATGTTTGAATGGAAGCAACAAGTAAGTGCCAACAAAATAATATTTGAATATGCTGTCGTTCCTATTCCTGTTTCCCTGTAAATAGAACAGTACATGTTCTGGGTTTTCAAAAGAGGAAACATTCACAGAAAAAAATAAACTGACTTTAATCTTCTAATCACTGCATAATTTATTTTCAGATTGGACAGACATACCCAAGCTACCACACTCATCTATCAAATATTTGGAGGGTACTTAAGATCAAGAGGTACTTTTCTAAAAAAAAAATTTTTTTTAGGAATGGTTTTGGCCTTATGACTGTATTATATGACTGAAACCAGGGTTAGTCAGTTATTTTTTTGTCTTGTTAATTTCTTGGTCAAGGTCCAGACTCCAGAGAAGAAAATAAAAAACAATTATGATAATAAATAAACACACAGATTTCAGGGTCTGTTCAAAAGCATCTAGTGGTCCGGATTTGGCCCGCAGTCTGCCTGTTGACTACCCTGACTTAAATGCTAATTAAGGTAATGTGTGCTAATAACTTAGGCAATAGACTAACTATGCTTATTGTGTTAAGTATTTATATTTTGATTTCAGTAAAGTGTATGAACTGCAAAGGAGTCTCAGATACCTTCGATCCATACCTTGATATTACATTGGAGATAAAGGTAAATTATTTTGTTACTCTAGCTGAATACGTTTTAAGAAGAAAACCCCTTAATTAACTGCATAGCTTTTGAAAATTTAAAATTTAATTTAAAATTTAATTTAAAATTTAAAATTTAAAAATTAAATAGAATTTAAGTTGATTCTACCCACATAGTTCTGTGATGGATGTGACTTATACTGTACTTTCTCTTATCAATATAAATGGGCTGTGTATGGCTTACTTAATCTGGACAAGTATTAAAATAGAACATCATTCTGAAGTCTTGAATCCACAGGCATGGCAATGCTATCTTATACTTCCCAGTTCAACAAAGATTTAATTGCAGAATGTTATAACTGAGGGTCCATATTGTTAAAACATTACTTTTACAATATATGTACCACAGACCAATTACTAGTGTACTATGAAATATTATAAATAATTAAACCTCATCTATATTTGTCAAAGTGAACAGAGTACATTTTGTGATGTAATATATTCGGCAATCCGTGTCTCTCTCTCCCCCCGCCCCCGTTCACAAATTCAGTAGTCTGTAGCGGCTCTCCCTTAAAATCATGTTAGTTCATACTACTGTAAGTTAAAGTGAGCATGTGGTGTGTTCTTATGATGTTTCTGATAACTCATGGAGGATAAGTCCATCAATGGCTATTAGCCAAGATGATCATGGATGTAACCTCATGCTCTGGTGTCCCTAGCCTGTGACTGCCAGCAGCTCGAGGTAGACAATAGGGAATGGATCATTCGATAGTTGCCTGTTCTGTTCATTCTCTCTGAAGCACCTGGTATTGGCCACTGTCGGAAAAACAGGATACTGGGCTAGATGGACCATTGGTCTGACCTAGTATGGCATTTAATATGTTATGTTCTAATGCATTGCACTGTTATCTTACTGTTTTAGACAGCTCAGAGTGTAAACAAAGCTCTGGAACAGTTTGTGAAGCCCGAACAACTGGATGGTGAAAATGCCTATAAATGTAGCAAGTAAGATGAATATTAATGACATCTTAATAATAGATGCTTGGTTCTATCGATGAATTATTGCATGTCATTTTTTAAAAGTTATTGATGTTTTGCTTAATTCAGAAACTCAGTGTAAGGTAAAATCTCATTTGTTGTACCCAAGCAAGTATAATACAAAACATCTAAAACTTGGAAAACCTTTTTTGAGAAGGCCAGTTCCCTAATTGTTCTTCTGGGAGGGTTTGGTGTGGGGAGATATTTCCTAAGAGATGCACTCATTTTGGCTCACCGAAGTGTTCATATACTATTATTGTCTATACACAGTACTTTGCTCATGTTTCTGAATCACACCATTTTAAAAGTGAAAAAAGTTGACTATAAATTACTGCTATGTTAAATAAACCATCCTAAACCTAATCTGCTATCACTGAACACACAGCATGTCCTAGATAACATAGAAAGATAAATAAATTGATCAAACTTCCTTTTTGGATCTTAAAAATAGATTGCATATTTAAAACATTTGGATAAGAACACAGAGGTACAAAGACGATATACAGTAAAAGTTGTTTTATCCAGCATGTTGTGGGAAATGAGGGGTGCTGGTAACTGAAAAATGCCAGTTAACTAAGAGGGAGGGAGTTTGGGTGCAGGAGGGGGTGCGGGGCTGGGGATTGGGGCAGGGGAGGGAGTGTGGAGTGCAGGCTCTGGGAGGGAGTTTGGTTGCGGGAGGGGGCTCGGGGCAGCGGATTGGGGTGTGGGAGAGGGGTGCTGGACCCAGGGGGCACTCACCTCAGGCGGCTCCCTGCAAGCGGCGACCTGTCTCGGCTGCTCCTAGTCAATGGGTGCTGCGCAACTGGCACTGGTGTGTGTGTGGTGGGGGGCAGCACGCAGAGCCACCTCCGCCTAGGAGCAGCCAGACCCCGGGCAGGTCACCGCTTCCGAAGCCGCCTCCTGCACTCAAACTCCCTCCCAGAGCCCACGCTCCACACCTCCTCCCGTGCCCCAACCCCCTACCAGCCCTGCGCCAACCGGATTATAAACCAGTATTTCAATGAAGATCAGAAATGCCGGTTTATAGAGTTTCCGGTTGGTGAAGTGCCAGATAAAACAGCTTTTACTGTGGTAGCAAAACAGGTCATAATTTTAACTCAGTGCAGCTAAGCAAAGAGATTTACTAAACTTCGTCTTCTAATGTTCTTGCCTCATCTCTAAATTATTAATGTAACGAAGCCCATGTTCTGCCACTAGAGGTAGAATATTAATGGCTAATTAGTAAGGTTAAGATTTTGTCATAGGTGTTTTTAGTAAAAGTCACAGACAATAAACTAAAATTCATAGAAGTCACCCGGGCAACTGGCTTCGCTGCTCTGGCGGGGGCTGAGGTCACAGCGGTCCGTTAAAGTTACAGAATCCTTGACCTCTGTGGCAAAATCGTATCCTTACCCAACATTTTCCTCCAAATGCACTTAGTATCTCTTTTGTTATGCTAAAATGAGGTATCCAGTAGATGAAATAAAAAGGTTCAAATCCAGGTTTTCCCTTGTTCGCTAGGATCTGCAGACTACAAACACAAAATGAATTCTGATGGTGTAAAGATCATAGATGGGAAGCATATCTAACAACCATGGGCTTAAGGAGTATCCCATTTCTGTGTTGTGTGGTCTTCCATATGTATAATCTGCAGGGGTCTATAGTCTGGTCAAACTTGAGGCCCCAAGCTTCCCTCTTCTCAATGGGGTTTAAAAACATATTTTTTTTTTAAAAAAGCACCCTGCTGACCTACAGGGCTTTTTCCATTTCTGGGAACTCTTTCTTCTACTTAACTCCTCTGAGTTTCCTCAGAGATCTTCTCAGTTTGTGTTGGCTAGGTTTATACTAATTTTAAAGCCCACAAACTACAGTTTGTTTGAATATCCAACCTAAGTTGTGTATATAATTCTGTGAAAATTTCTTGACATTCTGGTCAGTAAATGCTCTTCATGGGTAGGAATTCCCCTCTCCAGTCCAGTATTTTGGGGCATAAATCTAGAAAGATAGCCTTTTCTCTATTTCCCCACCCCTTGTTTGCTGCCAAGTCATATTATTACTATTCTCCCTTCCTTTGTGGTAGAAGCTGGATCCCACTGGTTAATCCTGCAGATCCTGTCATTGATGAGTAATGATCCATCACATTTACATTCAGGCTGTTTAGGAGTCATTTTTCAAAGGCAATCAGATGCTTCACTCTCTTTCCTCTCCAGGTAGTCTCAGTACAGGAAGGTAGTGGTCACAGTCTTGATTGTCAACAGATCTTATAGTGTAGGACAATTGTTTGCCTGTTTTTATTGAAGATAGATTAAATCCATTTTGGAAGTTCATATGTGCTCTTCCCAGCCCCAGATTGAAGTTGATGTTCCCTTCTTTCAGTTACGCTTTTGGTATTCTGCACTCTGGCAGAAAGCTGAAAGGAGGTAGCCTGAAGTCTGATTTAACTTTTTGTAATATTAGAAGTGCTGCACCTTCATACATTTTCCTAAGCTATTTCCAAAGACCGTGAATGCTGTAGTGAGAAGGCTGCTGCTTGCTGCATTGTGAGAGTTGCTGGCAAGCTTTATTTTTTGTTGGCATCACAGAGATTTACAGATGTCTTCAAATATTAGTTTGGATGTCAAAAGATAAGTTTCTAGAGCCTGTATTCTATTTGTCCTAGAGAACTGCCCTCATGTATTTTGCTGTCTCTTGTACTAGCTATGCCTGAAATGTCATGTATGAACTTCTGAAAAGCAAAAACATTGCGTGTAAAGAAATAATTACTCAGATAATGTAGACAAGTGTCTGAGCCATGGAAAACATGATATAAATGCTTAAAAATCCACATAAGGTTAACCAATTGTCTGTGTTTGCTTTTAAGGTGTAAGAAGATGGTTCCTGCTTCAAAGAGGTTTACAATACATCGGTCTTCTAATGTTCTTACATTGTCTCTGAAACGCTTTGCAAATTTTAGTGGTGGAAAAATTACCAAGGTACATAAAATGGTGTTACAACTGCATCTTTTTTAACATTTACATTTTCTAATACCAAGTGACCATACAAAGCCAATTAATGCATACACACAGCAACTCTAGATTGTAGATGCCAGCTGTTAGATAGAAAAATAAACTCAATAACTTAATCTTCTCCTTCTCTCGTCTGGTAATAGCAGAGATCCATTTTAACAATAAACATGAAACCAACAATAAACATCCTCCTGTGCCCTTCAAGAGCTGCCTTTTTAGCAGACTGTTCTGCTATTCAGTGTTGGACATTTTTCAACCTGTCATTTTCCAAATGAAAATGAATCCTCACTTTTGTTTTATATGTATGCTTTTGATCCATTTTGTGTGTGTATATTTTAGAAATGTTTTCTACCTCAGCATCTGAAGTCTTTTTCAAACTTTTTATAATAGTTCATAAAATATTTCAGCAAAATTTGAGCCTTCTCTTCTATCTCTATTTAGGAAGTGAAATATCCTGAGTATCTGGATATTCGACCATATATGTCTCAACCAAATGGAGAACCAATCATTTATGTTCTATATGCAGTCCTGGTGCATACTGGTTTCAGCTGTCATGCAGGACACTACTACTGCTATATAAAGGTAAAGATAAACATATTTTTCTTTTAATAAACAGATTTCAAAAAACCCCACAACCTTTCTAAAATAAGCATTGGGGACATTAATTTTTCATTCCTCTCTTCACCAGTACAGCCTATACTCTGAGGAAGGGAGCTGTTCTTGAAGGCAGGCTGTTTGGATGATCTGTCTTGGTAGGTTCCCATCCATATAAGGATGCAGAATCTTGCATATGTTTTTTGTCACCCTCCTAAAGAAAGTCCTTTATTCCTTTTTGGATGGGAATTCTCCTAGGGGAGTCTTCGCACGACCCAGATATTTCCATTAACCAAAAACAGTGAGTCTTCCCCACTCTGTGTTCTTTTTAAAGCTATCTCGATCATCCTAGTGCTACTGGAATGTCTTACTGAACCCTTCTTGGTTTTCTGTGTAGTCTTTAACGCTACCAGGACGCTTCTCCCTATCAGTTGAATCATCCCAGGAAGTCCTGTCTGTCTAGAAACATCCTTTGTTGCAGATGGCCTGTCCTGTTAGAAACCTTTCACCTCAATCCTAGTTGGAGATGAAATTCCTCATTCATTTAATTAACAAGGCATGTTCTGTATTGTGCAGGTGTGGATTATCAATTATACTAGCAAGTTTACAACGAGGTTCCCACTCCTGGGATTTTCCTGTTGGAGGTTTTTCAGAGGCCCACAAATGCTTGTCTGCAAAATTCTGTGGACACTCTTGATGGATTTTCCTGTTGTTTAAAGAGGATTTTCTAAGTTAGCAAGATCCTCTGCCTGTGTCTGTGTCTATCCCAATTTAGATAGTAAACTCATTGGGACAGGGATGGTGGCTTCCTTTGTGTCTTACAGAGCACAGTCTGTGTGCTTAACAAATAGTAAATAATTACTGGTGGTCCTCTCACCATGGGACTTCAGAAGCATCCAGCAGGGACCATCTTAATGCCCTTCATTAAAATCAGACAAAGCTAAGTAGAAATTATAACAGGACGAATGAGAGAGAAAGCAGGGCTAGGTTACAGAATAATCAGAATTCTCTGCATCTAATCCTGTTTCCTCTTCTGAATTAGCAGAAAGAAAATAATATATGAAATTCTACCTGGATGGATTTTGGGGATCCTGGGAACGTTGTGATATGATTGGGTATCTCCTTCATTCTCTCCCTTTCCTCTTTCCTGGTGTCACATCTACCCTTGTATAATTATGCCTCTGTGGGTCCCCCCCAGTCCTGGGGGCCTCTAAGATGGAGAGAGGTTTTCTTCTTTCTGTCAGAATTTTTAGGCAGGATTAGTTTAAGCCAGGGGTAGTCAATAGGCAGACCACAAGCCAAATGCGGACCGCCAGACACTTTTGAACAGACCCTGAAATCTTTTTATTTACTTATTATTTTTATTATTATTTATTATTATTGGGTTTTTTTAATTTTCTCTGGAGTCTGGACCTTGACCAAGAAATATGGACCTTAACAAAAAAATAATTGACTATCCCTGGTTTAAGCTCTGGTTCTGCAGAGGGGGTGAAGTGTTCTGACATTTCTGAGTTGGAGTGCCCTTGTTTGGAGTATTACCCAAACACAAGCTGCCAATTGAATTCTGAATGCATGACGATGACTCTTAAAACTGAACACCGCTCCATCTACCTCTGTCAAACCACTGGGTGGGGATAGACCATGGGTAAGAAATGACTTTTTTTTCCTTTTCTATACATGACTTGATCATTACTATTATGATACAGAACAATTGGGAGAACCTTGATTGGCAATAAGGGCTCTGCCTTTTCAGGAACAGTTGTATCCCAGTACATCTTTGCATACAGCCATGTTTGATGCTTTAAAGGTGGACTCTTCTTTAGTAGCTCTTGTTTATAATAGCCTTCCATCTGAGCAGTTTTCCTTGCAAAACTAACTGGATAGCACCACAGAGGCTGGGGCTCTTCAGCTCTGAGTGGATGGAGTTATGGACTTAGAGGATACCAGGCTAATGCCCTGACTCAGGTAGGTATCAAAGCTGAAGCCAACAGCTTAGCTCATTAATTGGCTTTATTGCTGAGGTTAGCCAATCTGGGCAGCGTATGGACGCATGGTCCTTGAGGTCTCCGTATGAATCTTATGGCTTCCCCAGGGAGGTAAACCTGAAGTCTCAGCATGCACATAGTGTAATGGCCTTATAGATTAAGTATGGAGCAGAAGAGTGGGCTTCACCCAGATAAGTCAGGCAACAGATATGCTTGATTTGGGGAAATATAGAGGGGCATGTAAGAAACTTTATAAAAACTGAACGGGGTACATCCTAAGATTTGCTAAGGCAGATGACACAGCATGCATCCCTTGTGCTGTAAGGCAGCAGAGAAAGCACTGAGGTCGTTGGGGGCTATGCTTCGTTATATAGTCTTGTGTGCTGAATGGGTGCCATTACAAGGAAGCAGTCCTGTAGCCCCATAAGACTCTGCTTTAAAGAGGATTCTGCATGTTTAAGGCATCAGGACACCATCCCTCAAATGGGAATCATAGAGGCCCTCAAAGAATAAATTGTTTAACAAGTTCCATCAGGCTGCTGGTGCACTAACTTTCTCAGTGTACTTTCATTTCTACTGTCTTTGCTTTGTGGTTTGTGAAATTTATTTATTTATTTATTTATTTATTTTGGTGACTGAAAAAAATTTGTTAGGGTGTCTGTCCTTAATATCACTACCGGTATATAAGGGCACTTATAGCTATGTAATGGGATAATTGATATTGTCTCTAAAGCTTATTTTCACTAACCTGCACTTTCCTGTTGATAAATTATTTGACTCCATTCTCAGTAAGACTATTAAGGAGGCTTCTGAATTGTGGAAGATGGTTTTCCTCTGTAAATTCAACTCCTCTAGGTGCCATTGAGTTTCCTCCCTAAAATGGCCTTTTTGTCCCTTTTTTTGGATAGAGTTTCCCGCTATTGCTTCAAGTATCAGCCCGAGAATCCAACATTTCTGCCAAACCAAATACCTTTAAGAATCTAAGGTCAAGACCCCACCTCATTCTCTCCCACTAGAGGCAGGCTGTCCTGTTTGCAAGGAAGGGGGGAGGCAGGACCTCAGTCTGAAAATTTCAAGTTAACATAAAGCAGCCTTGCAGATAGTATCTTCAGTTTTACTTCCTGACCAGCATTATTAATTTAATGTCCATCCCTTTTGGACCTCTTCGGCTTCATAGGTTGTCATAAGTCTTGCTAGCCCTGTTAGTGAAATTTTAGCAGGTTAGTGTATTTTGCTACTTTGCAGTTGGTTGCGTAGTTTGAGAAACCTGCAGTAATCAGCCAGTCACCCACCTTTATGGCAAAGACACTGAAATTATTCATAGACTGTGGGTTTCTCATCACTGAGCATTTTTCTCTGGCACCCTAGCAAACTATAGAGCACCTGAAAGTGTTTGAAACCACCCAATGGAAAGTTACTAGGATATAGACAACCTTCAGCAACACAAGTTCTTTGACCATGTGATCATGATCTCATTAGCTGCCAACAGGGAAGGTGGGTTGGATGCTTTAGCCACAAACATGGCAAGAAATGATTTCTGTTGTATTAAGTTAGAGTTCAAGGCTGTGTTTGGTCCTATAGCATATGCCATCATATGAGTGTAAATGAGAACTGCTTAAATACACACTACCAACATCTGTCAGAGGAATCAGGACATTAGCTCTGAACCAGGAAATTGATGAGTTCTACAGATTGTTGTACTTTAAAAAAAGAATTCTTCTGTAAGCTATGAATCTGCCAATTTTATTTAATTTCCCCTTGTTTCTTGTATGAGAGAGTTGTATGGATGAAAATTGAATTAAGTTTTTTTCCTCTTGCTTTACGCAGTGCTTGAATAACTCTTGGCTTGATGTCTTTTGCTTTCAGTATCCACCTCAATGCCATGCTATAGCACAGGCGTTCTCAAACAGGGTCACACGGTTATTATGTGTGTGGGGGCGGGCGGGGGGGGGGTCACAAGCTGTCAGCTTCCACCCCAAACTCCGCTTCACCTCCAGCATTCATAATAGTGCTAAATATAAAAAAAGTGTTTTTAATTTATAAGGGGGGCGGTCGCACACAAAGGCTTGCTGTGTGAAAGGGGTCACCAATACAAATGTTTGAGAACCACTGTATAGCACAAGTTATTTTCTGATAAGCTTTCTTTTATTCTCTGGGATGCCCAGTGTCCTTATGCCTGCTCATCCCAGACCCCTGAAAAAACTAAAACAACTCAGAGCTTACGTATCTTTCTTGTACTGGTCTGGTCTCAGTTCAGAGAATGAAAATTAAAATGGCTGGAGGTCTGGGCTTTAGTATAGGGAATCCTGGACTAGCATTATTAAAAAAGGCAAGATGATACTTGGAGCAATCTAATTTTAAAGCATGTGTCCCTTAACATGTTAAAACTTTTTCATTGTTTTAGCAAACTTGTAAGTGTTCATGTCATCACTGTGACTTCCTCTCCTGATGAGGTCCTAATCTGCTGCTGCCCTAAGCAGTTATATGTTCAAAAGGAGCTATAAAGTTTAAGAAATGGTCAGACTCTATCTTTGCATTTGTCTGATATTTTTTGCACATAACTATTGAAAAGTAGAACTAATGAAAGGTTTTACATAGTTAACATTTAAGTAACAGATATTGAAAACATAATAAATTTAAGAGTCATCCATGTTATAAGATCCAGTATCTCAGATTGTGGCACAGAGAAATGCTTTGGTTGATGAGTAGACTTTCTGGACTAGAAAACTCTTCCACACACTAGTCCTGGACCAGTTATCCTGGTCCAACAGTGTCTTTTACTCTGTTTCCTTTTGAACCTTTGGCTCAGGATCCTGGCTCTAAATGATAGTTTGTTGTCCTTCCTTTCCGTTGGTTCCATTACTTTATCATACCGCAGCTGTGTCTGTAGTTTTGCATAAGATTAACAAAAGCAGTTTAAAGTAGAATAGAACTCTATCTTGCCTTCCTATAATACTGTAATATGCTGACGTAAATTAGCCCCTTCTGTCTGCTTCATATATGGTTATGTTTCTGGTTAGACTCTCTGAGAATCTTCCTCTTACAGTAATTTTTAAAATAAACGTTCTTGCAGAGTTTGAGTATTTGCTAAGCAAAAAATTTACCTAGTTTCACAGAATATTTATTCTTTTAGTTTTGTTTTATCACATGTTCCTTTTCCCTTGAAGACATGATTGACTTTTATAGTTCTGCTTTCCTTCTTGATGAGGAACAAATGAATCTAAAACATACATAATTTCTCCCTCCATACAGCACAGAGCTTGCTTCAGCTCTCCATGGCTGGCTGTAAAAGGACTCTTCCGTAGTCACACACTCAACAAAGCTCCCACTTGTATAGTGCAATCTTAATTCTGCCCCTTGTCAGAACTAATAAGGTTGCAGTGTTCTTTTGGCTAACTACCCATAAAATGGTGTGATAGTTCATATGGATATATATAGCGGACATATAGGCAGTCTCTTCCTAACCTGTGTCAGTGGGGTTGACTTTTACTATGAAGCAGAAGGGTTTATATCCCTTATAAAAATGTTTATTCTGTCTATTGTATCTGTAGGTATTCACATCGATAGCAACCTTGATTTCTTTTTCAAATTCTCCTAAACTCTTGGCCTCCATATCTTGTGAACATGAATTCCACAGATTATATTGTGCTTTTATTTGTTATGAATTTGTTGCCAGTTTTATTTAATGCCCCTTTATTCTTGTAGTATATGTGATTTGTTGTGTGGATCCTTGGTGGGACAGTGTTTTAGCATAACAGGTGCTCTAAACAATAAAACTGCTCCTGAGAACAGTTCCCTTGCTAAAGTTAAAATCTGCACTGGTGAAGGGGAACATTCACTAACAAATATTAGTGGTAACAAATCTCTGTAGATAAGGGATTTAATTAAAAAAAAAATACAGTAGTGTACATTACTATAATGAAAACGGCTATGTTTTGGAGTGTTCTTTATTCTTCTGCAGCTTTAGTTTTCTGTGTTGTTTTTTCTAGCAGATGTTGTAACTGATTTAAAATGTGTCATTGACTTATTTGCAGGCCAGTAATGGGCAGTGGTACCAGATGAATGATTCTATTGTGTCCAACAGTGACATCAGATCTGTGCTTAATCAGCAAGCTTATGTGCTCTTTTATATCAGGTAATATCAAGTACCATAATGTGTTCAAGATTCAGTTACTTTCTTGTTCCTCATCATTTTTTTTCTTTTCCCTCTCCTGGGAAAAATTCCAATTTGGTTAATTCATCTCTGTCTACCCTAAAACTCCACCTATAGTTTAAGCTATAGAAGTTGTCCTTACCTGCCTGACTTAATTTTTTTATTTTTTTTTGCTGGTGTAAGTTAAATGTCTGTCATCCTACACCCACCACTGAAAGAGTTATCTACAGAGTGAAGTGATGCCTTTATAGGTGGAGCATTTTGAATCTTCTGGATCAAATGCTGTGTAATTGGTTGACTTCGGGGGTGGGAGATTGAAGTGATGGATGTTGTGAAGTTGAGTTGCTGCTTGGGGTTGGGAAATTATAATCGGAGGTCTGTTATCTAACTTACGATTTGTAGCCTTGGTTAAAGTTTGTTTATTTAAAAAAACCAGTTTCTGTGAAGTATTAAACTGTGGGATATCTCTAAAGTCTGGGCTAAGCAAAAGAACAAATCTGAATTGAATGAATGAATAATTATCTGTCGTTTCTTTAGGTCCCATGATATGAAAAATGGAGGAGAACACCCCCATTCCATTCATACACCAGGACAGTCTTCTCCCCGTCCAGTTATCAGTCAGCGGGTGGTTAATAGCAGGCAGGGGGCATCAGGATTTATAGGACCACAGCTTCCTCCTCACATGATTAAGGTAATCTTCATATGTAGATAATGTCATCAGCTTGATGGCCGGAGTTTTGTAAACAGCCTTTGTTTATTTGTTATAAATGTTCAGGATCTCAGATTTCCTTTCCCCACAATACAGCTCTGTGTGCAGTGCTCCTTCTGCAGCCTAAGCAGCTAGAAACACTTTAATAGAGACAAACACTGAACTGTGCAAATATTACTTCCCCATTGCTTTGAACTTCAAACTAGGTGCCAAAAGTACTCAAAAAGCACACTGTCAAAATATTTACTTTAAATAATACTTGAATTTATTAAAACTGAAATAATTTTAAAAATCCAACTTACTTGCTTTATTTATGCTGTTTCATCTTTTGCACTTCAGTTGAGATGGTGAAACCAGACTGGCTTGTTCTCAGTTATTAGTACAAATGTTCTAAGGTTTGCAAAGAATAGGGATTTTTGTTTTAGATTTTTGTTTTTGTTTTGTAACTTACAATCAGCAAAGGATTGCCGTTGGTGTTAGGTTTTTAAAAAACAACAAAATGTGAACCCTAAACTACCGGCAAGATTATATAACTCATATGGGGTGTTTTCTGCTTAGCCACTGGGGCAGTTTGTAGAAATATCAAGTAAGCCCATTATGTCTTGGGATATTAAATGCTGTCTATCCACATGCACACATTTTCATAGTGATTTCTTTGTAATTACAGAATTCCAGTCATTTAAATGGAACTGGATCACTAAAAGAAACTCCAAGCAGTTCTGTGGCAAGTGCTAGCAATGTTACCCTAAACAGACCAGCTTCAGCTCCACCTTCAACTTCCATTCAAAACTGGACAATTAACAGACCCACTATTCCTGATCCTTCGAAAAAACAGAAAATCACTATCAGTATTCACAATAACAAATTGCCTACTCGCCAAACTCTGTCTCAGCCCAACCTTCATAATTCTTTGGAGAATCTCAGCAAGCCTGTTCCTTCGTCCACGATTACAAATTCCTCTGCAGTAAAGTCTACCTCAAGTGCACCTACAATGTCAGTTGCTACTAAAGTATCTAAACAAACAACTCCTAGTGAATCTTGTTCTAAGCCATTAATGAATGGCAAGTCTAAACTAAACTCTAGTACGTTGGTCCCTTACGGTGCAGAATCTTCAGAAGAATCTGATGAGGAGTCGAAGGGATTAGTTAAGGAGAATGGCCACTCAAAATCTTTTAATGGAATTTTGATTGGAAATGTAGTTAGTACATTACAGAACTCTTGTTCTTCCTGTCAAGATGCTGAAGAGGTTGTATCCCAGCATGAACTGCCAAAAAATGTTACAGTTAATGGTGCTATTAGTATAGATAGTGATCCTGAAGAAAATGGATTGAAATTTGATGAATCTACTTGCCAAGTCAAGCCTGTTAAATCTACAGAAATTCCATTTTCTAAAGTGAATGGATTGCATGGAAAAGTGAGTTTTACATTTGTTTCTTCTAGACTGTCTGTCTCTTCATGGCAGATTATAAATATGACTGTGATGCACTCAATATTAGAATGTTCCTCATTCAGGCAAAGTTCAGAGGAAAATATACAACACAGGCTGCCGTCATAGCACTTTGTGCTGCAATCCCTTAGATCTTGCATACTAATCAGGGTTAAGCTGAATCAATACTTGCTAATCTCATTTCCACATCTGTAAAATGGAGAGAGCATGCATCTCTCTGTGGTGGCTTAATAATATTTAGCATTTATATAATGTTTTGCAAACACTAACTATTCTTCTTAGGTGGGTACTGTAAGCATTATGTTGTGCTCAAGTACCAGAGAGGTAGGTGTGCTAAATACTTGGCTATAATTCCATCTGGTAAAATGAGGAACCTGAAACATGGAGAGGTTAAGTGATTTACCTGAGGCTGTATAGCAAGTCAGGCTTAGGATCTGGGACTACAAAACCACACTGCTTTTTTATGTAAAACTTTGAGGTAGTAAAGTGCTCAGTGGTGTTGTCCCAGTGCATGTTGGGGGGCATTGTGTTAGGTGTGCAGTCTTTCTGATGAGACAAAAACTGTGGTGCTGACCATCAAAGAACCTATGTCACTCTTTATAAGAGGGGTGCTGTTTCTGGTATGTTGTCCAGATTTCATCTGATAGTTATATTCTGCCTGTCTTAATTCCCCTATAGTTTAAAGTATGTAGTATTGTATTGTACTTTTTCTTTTTCTAAATTGTGTGCTGTTAATGCTTGCAGTATTGAATGTTAGGGTGCTGTGCCTACAGTGATCCATATGAATAGTCTGTATGTCCGATTATGATTGGAAAGTGCTCTAGGACTCTTTGGGCTGAGATGCTATGTAAGTTTGTATGATTGCTATCATTCCGTATGTTTTAACTCAGACCTTTTAATTGTAGATAATACCTACAGCTTTGCCACCAGTTCCTGAAGATAGAATTTTAGAGTCTTTCCGATATAACCAGTTGAAAAGCTTGTCAGAGGAAATAAGGTAAAATACACTTTGTCCAAATTAAGATTCCATACAAGTTTTATTATGGGTATACTAACTATTAATAATACATAAATGGAAAGACCTAGCTCACTATAGGAATACCATACCAAAACTAATAATAGTGAGAGCAGAACCTATGTTTGGCATTGTGCCTATTCTTCTTATATTTAAAAACCTGTTGATGCCTCATGGAAAACTTTGGAAAAACATTCTATGTAGAAACCATTCTGTCATATTGTCTATATTTTCTATATTCCTCTTCCCCTTTTTTTCACTCCTAGGGATGCATGCATGAACACGATATCTATTTATTAGTGTGGGTATAAGTATTTTTCGGTCTACCACACTTCTAAAATATGGGCAGCTCATTAGGAGTAATCCCAGCTGCTCTGCTAGGACACTGACCAGGTGAGTGTAAATTCCTGCCACCTGCCTTCCCTTGCCTCTGGGAGGGAGGGAGAGGGAAACCCACTATTACAACGTTTTTATTGTGGGGAAGGGCAAGCATAGCGAGTATGGTCATGAGTCAACGCAGCAAATAGATGGAGGGGAAGTAGGAGAACTGACAGGGAAGGTGCTCCTGAAGTGTTGCACACAGAAAAGTAAGCAAAAGAGCTTCCCCCTGAGGAGGGAATATATTATAAGTAGATGTGTTTCTAAACAGAATGTCTTTCAGAGTTTTCCAGGAGTCAGAGGTTTACCGATGAAAAGGATTTTACTCTTAACAATCATCACATAGAGTATTTGTCTTATTTCTGTTGAAAGTCACAAATACATTTCTATTTTGTGCAGTGCAACTGGACTTGAAAAAACTTCTGAAAATGATGGTCATATAGAAACTTTAGTGAGTGGCAACAGTACTATTTCCTATGAGAAGTCTAGTAAAGTTCCCACTAACCTGAGCTGCAATGTCCAGAATCCCTTTACTACATCAGATGGTGAGACCATTTCTACCAAAGAAGAAATTGCCGAAAGTATTGTATCAAAACCTGATAATGCACATTCTGATATCAGTGGTCAGTGTAACACTAAGAAAATATCCCTGGGAATTGATGATGAATTCTCTAAACAGTGCAATCCCAAGGATTATGCAGATAAGATAAGAGGAACACAAGAGGTAAAAATGACTTTGAAGGAGAGTCCTCTGCACATCAGAGGGTCTGCAGAGACTGCAGAGAAATTGGGGCAAAGCCCCTTCACGAAGTCTGACAATGAATGTAGTTCTAAAAAACTTGTAGCTCTAAACATTAAAGATGAATGCCAAGAAACAAAGGAGAGTGCTAATAATTACACAGATGTACCACCTACTAATGACTCTTCTGCTACAAGGTTGGATAAAGTTTTAGAGAGTCATTATTCTAAAGAAAACGATGGACTGGATGGTAATGAAATATGTGAAGAAAATAAGGATAGGCAAAAAATTAAGTCTCATTCTCCAGTCAAGGAAAGAAATTGCACCCCCAAAAAAATTGACAAAGGGCATTACCGTACTAAAAGAGAGCGCTCTGAAAGTGAAGAGCAGGAGAAGCAAACCAAACGCAAACCAGATGATGATTATTCCAAAAAAAGGCAATCCTACAGCAAGGAGAGTATGAAGCAAGATCGCTATAAGCAGGAGCACTGCAATGGAAATAAGTACAAACTTACGCATAGTGAAAGAAACAGCCCTGATAATGGCAGAAGTTTAGGAAAATCCACCTATTACAGATCCCGAAGTAGAGGGAAAACTGATCAGGAGAGGAGTAGATATTACCATTCTAAAAGGGAAAGATCTTGGAGTAGGGAAAGATATTACCAAGATATACCAAGGAGATGGGACAAGTGCAGATATTACAATGATTATCATCCTTATGCAGCAAGAGATGGTAGAGAGAGAAAATTCTTTCATGGGGACAGAGACTATGACAAATCAAGTCAGGTTTACAACATTAGGTCATATAGGGATTATTATTACACAAGCAGATGGAATCATGAACCAGTAGCTAAAGAGAGAGAGAAACATCATTTTGGCAGCTCCAAAATAGATTTATATAATTGCTCAGATCCCTCTCAGCACTCTGAAAAATATTCCCATGAACAATGTGCATCCATGTCTGAAGAAAACAATTCAAGTTTTGAGATGTCTTGCCACAAATATGAATATCTAAAAGACAGAAAAAGAAAATGTGCTAGTCTAGAAGGTAGTGACAGTGATATGGAAAAGAAACACAGGAGTTTGCAAAGTGAGCCAACAGAAGAGCAAAAAGTGAAAAAACACAAGAAGTCAAAGAAAAAAAAGAAGTCCAAAGATAAACACCGAGAGAAAGATGAGAGGTAAGCAAGAGAAACTTTTATTTACAATGTTCTAAACAAACTCCTCTTCCTAATTTGTCTCTGGCTGTTTCCCTGGTCTTCCCCTCTTTTTTCCATTGCTTCTGAGCCCATGGCACTGTAAAATCTGTCAGGGGAGATCAGGTTAGTTTGATGTGTCTTGCATAGATGGGATCAAACCATGTTGTTGAGTTGTGTGAGAGCTTTGGAACAGGATCAAACAAATAATGTTCTAAACATTTGTAAACGGACCCTGACTAAGTTTATTGCACACTTTTCAAAACTGGCTATGGTCAAACTTGGGTAGGCAGGCCATGACATAACTTTTCCTCCCAAAGTAGGGATGGGCTGAATTTGTTTGCACCAAATGGTAGCCTGGAATAGAGAGGTGCAGTCATACAGCTTTTCTTTTAACTGAATGGAAGGTGTATGTGTCCTGTCACAAGTCTAGATGGGTGTGGAGTGCACAGGACCAGTTCATGTGTATAGGAAAAGGAGGTTTGGAGAGACACTAGTGCTTCTCTGCCTTCTCTATCCAACAAAATCAGCTGTCTTTTTGTGAGAAGGGAGTGCAGGTACAGTGAAGTACAGCATGACAGTAAGGTAGAGAAGGCAGGGAAATACTGATGCTTTCCCTCTTCCTTCTTCTGAACCCTTGAGTTGATCCTGAGGCCCTCTGCCTGGACTCCACTACTCTTAGCAAACCCTGTCCAAGAAGAATCTCTTTCCCCCTACATTAGAAGGCTCATGGTTGCACTGGGATTCTTCCTTGCACAAGGTAGCAATCTCAGACAGTCCAGGGAGCCACCTTTATCCTACAGCCCCCCCAGCTACTCTCATCTGCAGGTCTGAAACCCCTTCTGTCTCCCACAGAAACCAGTAATATCCTCTGTTGATTTTTATTGCAGAAAAGGAAACTTATAGCAAGTCATAACTTTACTTAGGCTTTGTGAAATAAGAAGCCTGAGAGTTTGTTCAGAGGCCCCCCAAAAAGTCAGAATCACAAGTGAAACTTCAAAAAGGTGGGATTTAAAATTGCTTAGAATTCCTACATTACAGAAGTGTGTTATGAAAACAAGGTAGAAAATTAGTTTTTCTTCCTAAGTGATCTGTGTGAAGCTTATTTAAGGGAGTACAGTGCTGGTTTTCATGTGTTTGCAACTTTAATTTAAGGGAGTACAGTGCTGGTTTTCATGTGTTTGCAACTTTAATTTAAGGGAGTACAGTGCTGGTTTTCATGTGTTTGCAACTTTAATTTAAGGGAGTACAGTGCTGGTTTTCATGTGTTTGCAACTTAACTAAACTGTGGAGCCACTATGGCACCTCACTGCTCAGGAGTACTATGTGATAATGCTTTCCTGTCATAGCAGAGAAATTACATCGTGTTTTGACCCTTTTACTGACAGCCTCATGTTTTAGGTCCACTTTCATATTTATTCTTAATTGCTAGATTATTTATAATTTGATTTTAAATATTATAAAACGCATAAAGATGGACCAGTTGGATCACTTGATGGACTGAAGTCCATGATTATGGCTGGGAGTGAAGAAAATGTTGTACTACTTTGGCCTGGTCTACACGGAGGGGGGGTCGATGTAAGATACGCAACTTCAGCTACGGGAATAGCGTAGCTGAAGTCGACGTATCTTATTTCGACTTACCTCCCGTCCTCACGGCGCGGGATTGATGGCCGTGGCTCCCCCGTTGACTCCGCTACCGCCGCTTGTCCTGGTGGAGTTCCGGAGTCAAAGGGAGCGCGTTTGGGGATCGATATATCACGTCTCGTCTAGACGTGATATATCGATCCCCAATAGGTTGATCACTACTCACTGATACGGCGGGTAGTCTGGACGTACCCTTTGATGAGTTGTGCTCTGTTATACAGTTCCTTATTTCATATTGTGTGAAAGTAAGCTATGGATACCTTGGCTGCCAGCAACTAGTGTATTTTCAGTGTTATAAAACCATGGCCCTCTGTGCTCTATTGCACAATGGGACCAAATTCTATGGCAATAGTCACTACATTCCACAGCAGTGTTAATTTATTGTGATGTCATGAAATTCTTTTCATTCCCATCTCCCACCCACCCCACACATAACTATGGTTCATTGTTGGAATCTATTAAGTTGACTTAAAATTGGTGGATGATTATGTTCAACAATGATTAGATTAGGGGCTAGTTTTTGCTTTGATCACGAGGTGGTTCCTCTCCAAACCCTGGGGCTTAGCTGCTGCACTTTTCTCCAGCCAGCCCAGTTAATCAATCTACACTTCTGATTCCTCCCATTCACTTGCTGCAAATTGGGCTCTGGCTCTAACATTACTACTCCTGGTGCCTGACTCTGTGGAACAATACAGGGAGCAGGCACTGTAATCCAGTTATCTCCTTCTGTGGGGAAAGCTGGCCACAATTGGTAGCTTTTGGCAGGATAAAGGGACAGAAAATAATTTATCAAAATGCTGAATTCCATGGCATCTTGGAATAGTCTATAGCCACATAATTGCAAAGTCCAGAGGATCCTGACTGAGATGCATGTGTTTTATGAGATCTACAGGCTCAGGCAGGCATTGTTCTACATTGGTCTGCTGTCTGTTTACAATTTCAAGGTTATTTTCTTAGCCATAAGGATTAGAAAAATAATTTATTTTAAATGAAAACTCAGATTCTGGAGTCCATTTCTGCAGCAGGGTCTGAATTCTGTAGCCCTGGAATCACTGAATACATAGGTCTCTGTATATAATTCATTCTGTCTCCTAATGTTCCAAAACTGTTTTTCCCACTTAAAAAAAGGTAGTGAGCTGGCTACATGTAGCCTGTTCTCTTGTAATACCCTCTTAATTTAAGAACCCAATAAGTACTACTAGTCTCTTATTTTTGGATACTTGGTTCGTATTCTGATGTGGGTTCACTGTACTTATCCTGACTCTTCAGAAAAATGACTTAATTGACATTGTGTGTGTGAAGGCATCTTGTGAATACAGAACACTTTTCATTGTGTTGGAAATACAAAATAACATGTAATACAGTATACCTGCATTAAACTAGAAAAGCAATATCTCCCAGTAACAGTTTGAGTATTTCTCCTCTCCATCCCATTGTTCTTCTTTCTAATCAGAAATTAAAAGCAAGTATGTAGTAGTAATAGAGAGTGAAGCCATGCACAGGTTCCCCTCATAATGAGCTGTGCTTTCCCTCAGGAGGCAAATGATGCAAATTGTGTCTGATGCTTGCCAGGTTGCTCCCATATACGATATGAGTGTTTCTAAATGGGGGGTGGGGATGGGGGGGGTTAAATAGACAAACTGAGAACTGATTTTTAAAAAAACTTCAGTGTGTGATCATCTTGATAATTTAGTCTTACATCAGAGGGCTGATGTCTATGTAGTGCTTGATAGGTATAGAGTTCAATATTTTGTTCTAATCAGTGGCATATGTTTAAAATGCTCCCTTTTTGAAAAAGAAACCCTTGAGAAAAGGACAAAAGTTTATTTAGCTTGCCACTAACTTGGGGATGAAAATGGAGAATACTTAACTATTTCCTTGCTGAACACAGCTGATCCATTACGCAAAGAGCAGCACAGATGCTGGAGGAAAGGAACAGCACCACAGCTGTTAAAATAAGATGTGCTCTTTATTTTGAGCTTTAGCAAGCCAGATTTTAGTAGATATGACCTGTGGCCAAATTTAGAACAATAATATCTTTTCTATGCATGTGCCTAACTCCTCAAAAATTAATAAATTGTATATGTATAAATAGTGTAATATGTTTGTATCAATAGTGTAAGCATCACATTTGTTTTCATATTAACTTGTATGTTTTTTTCAGATATCGCCAGGATTCAGACTTCTCTGGGGCCTGCTCTGATTCTGACATCCACAAACATAAGAAGAAGAAGAAGAAAAAGAAGAAACATACAAAGAAATCTGAGGGCTTTCTTGAATATTTAGATCCTAATATCCAGAAGGCTGCTGGCTCTGAGACTAATAAGACATGGGAGAAAAAAGAATTTCATTGTACGGATGACCCTCCATCTGAAGAATATAGTAAACATGGGAGTAAATGGCCTCATGAGGGAGGGGATGCTGATTCCTGTCATAAAACAAAATACATAGGAGGAGGCCAGGAAAATAGCTATCACATATCTAAAGAGTATAGCAAAGGTAAGAGACCATTAGAAATTAATGGGATTTCTATTTTTTTCAAATAGAGAAAAATATTTGAAGTAATTTTAAGTGCTTTGTAATACATATACAATATGTCACATCTTCCAGACAGCAAGCAACACAATTATGTTGGATAATTTCTTTAGTTTTGTATATCTGTGAAATAAAGTAGATAAAATTAGCTATTTTTACTTACCCTGGGTTATTGACTAGACAGTTGCTGTCGTCAGCATGTTTGTTACAAGAAATCCTGGGGCAGCTCATACTGATGAGCTCATAAGTATGAGTTTACGTCACGTAGGGAGGGGAAGAATAGCATTGTTATTGTCTATTCTGCCTGTGTCAAGTCTGCTTAATTTAAATATTTTTGCCTTTTGGGGTTTTTTCCTGAGCACAGTAAATATTTTTATACTAATTTGTGTACTTTTTATAATTTTTTTTTGGGGGGAGTCCAAAAAATTTTGGAATCCAGTAATCCTTGACCAATAAAGTCTCTACACAAAACTATTCATCATATATAGGGCCCTACCAAATTCACAGTCCATTTTGGTCAAATTCACAGTCATAGGATTTTAAAAATCATAAATTTCATGATGTCATCTATTTAAATCCTGAAATTTCAGAGTGTTGTAACTGTAGGAGTCCTGACCCAAAAAGGAGGGTTTTTGGGGGGGGAGGTTCCGCAAGGTTATTGTAGGTTGTGGTACTGCTACCCTTACTTCTGCACTGCTGCTGGTGGCGGTGCTGCCTCAGAGCCGCAGCTGGAGAGTGGCGGCTGCTGGCCGGGAGCCCAGCTCTGAAGGCAGAGCCGCTGCCAGCAGCAGCACAGAAGTAAGGATGGCATGGCATGATATTGCCACCCTTACTTCTGCGCTGCTGCCCGCAGAGCTGGGCCCTTGACTGAGGGCCCAGCTCTGCAGGCAGCAGCCGCCACTCTCTGGCCCCCCAGCTCTGAAGGCAACAGCGCAGAAGTAAGGGTGGCATGGTATGGCTGCTGGTGGGGCACTGCCCTCAGAGCTGCCGCACTCCTGCCGCCCAGCTCTTAAGTCAGTGCAACCCTCCAAAATAACCTTGTAACCCCCCTGCAACTCCCTTTTGGGTCAGGACCCCCAATTTGAGAAATGCTGGTCTCCCCCCATAAAATCTGTATAGTAGAGAATAAAAGCACACAAAAGACCAGATTTCATGGTCCATGATGTGTTTTTCATGGCCGTGAATTTGATAGGGCCCTAATCAGATAAAAAACTACCAATGGATGTGTTTACCTACATTATCATGTGGGAAATTGGATTCTAATTCATCCCTTCTTTTCTGAGCAGGGAAGTGGGAGGAAAGCCTTATGTTGCTCTGTAATAACTCCTCTGGCCATACTGGAAGTATTGGTGACTGGCTAAGGGAATAACTCCTTGCATAAGGGAATGGATAGCACTGTGTTGTTGTAATTAGTGAATCTTGTGACTAAAGGAGATGAAGGAAATAAGGGAGGATGATTTAAATCAAAATAACAAATCACCAACTCTAACTTGATTTAAATCAGCAAGCAGGAAATCTTGACATAAATTACAGATTTTAATTTTGTTTTGCATTTGGGACTGGACTTGGATTTGAGATCTGGGTTCTATTCCCAGCTCAGTCACTGGTCTGCTAGGTGACCTTGGGAACCTCATCTGTAAAATGGGGAGAATGATGGTTACATCCTTTGTCAAGTGCTTTGAGATCTACTGATAAATGCTGTATAAGACCTAGGTATTTGCACTTCTAAGTTACTTTCCTAGAGAAAGGTTCAGTGTCATTGATTAGCATGTTTAAATGGTTATACTAATTTGCAATCAAATACCGCTTTTTACACTAAATGTTATACTTTTGCTAAACAGGAGGATACACTGCATCTATACACCTTTAAAAAATTATATAGCTTAACGTGTGTGTGTATATAAATATATTAATTATCATTTTGTTAGAAAATGAAAAGCTAATTTCTATGTTCTTTGTATTAAAGTGCATTTGGATGGAATTTTAACGTAAAAAATTACTGTTTTTAGTTAAATAAAACTATTGTACATGTGCTGGATGTATAAAGTTTACCAAACTGTGTAAAAAATGTAAAATCATTTAGAACTGTGTTTATTAAACACAGGAAATATTTACTGTAGTTAGTGACTATTTCTAGTTATTATGGGCCAGATTTTCAAAGGTATTTAGGCACCTAAAGATTCAGCTAGGGGCCCAGTGGGATTTTCAGAAGTGCCTAAGGACAAGGTAGGAACATAATGCCCATTTAAATTAACAGCCAATGAAATCAATGGGAGTTGCATGCCCAACCTGCTTAGGTACTTTTGAAATCCCATTAAGCCCCTATCTGC